GGGAGCCGCTAGAAGGCCGGGGTGCAGCTAGGGGCCCCTGGGGATAAAGCAGGGACATATCCCAGCGGTCAACCTTTTTGGCCCCTTCTATTTCCTCTTGAGGGGAAAGGTGAGGGTGGAGGGTTTAGGGCCATGCCGTCTGCCACAGCATCCCAGCTCCTTCCCTGGACCCCGGAGCTGGAGAAAGGACCCAGGTGTTGTTCTCAGCTTCCATTTGGAGAAAGAGGGAAGGGAACCCCGACTCCCAAATTCTGCACACACACTGAGAAATATCCCCTCCTCTCCTCTTAATATCAGGGTGTCCAAAGCACCTGAACATAGGGCCTAGAACAGAAGATGTCCCCAATCCTGAATTGTGTCAGACTACACTGGGGTCAGAGGGCAGACTCTGGGGGCCTCAAAAGGATGGGATAGAGGTGGGAAAAGAAGGAATCTGCCAAATCAGGGTTATGATTTAAAGCTGCTCAGAACCCTCCACCCACCCTACCCCACCCTACCCTAGGGAGGAAAATAGAAGGCTGAGTCATTGGGTGGATGGGACAGAAGTGAGTCAGAACCCAAAAGATGGGGGGCAGCAGGGAGAGATAGGGCAGGAAATAAAAGCAGCGCACTCCCTCCCCCCAACCAGGCATCTGATCTCCTGGTTTCTTCCACGGAAAGGGATGAGAAATTAACTTGGAATTTCTTTCAGTCCCAAACGCCTGGGTCCAAGCTGCTAGAGGGTCCTCATAGGAAGGGGTGTGTAGGTGGGTCAGAGGAGGCAGTGGGAGCGTGGTCGTGGAGGGAATGAGAGGCAAGGTCTGAGAAAGGTGGAGGAAGAAGGATGCGAGTCGGGATTGCAGAGGAAATTGCTCTTGGGTTGCAGGTAGTAGGCAGGTGGGAGCAAATGTCTAGGTCTGAGGACTGGGGACTTGAGCAGAGCTTGTCTTTGGGCATGGAAAGGGAGAGACGATCCCTTTAGGGGCCATAATATCTCATTTTACACCTGGGGCGATTTCCAGGCAGTGCACATTCTTCCTCCCTGCCTTTCCCTTGCCCTCCCTGCCTTTCCCTTGCCCTGACGCCCTGATTTATTTCCTCACTTCCTCCCATCCTGAGCTCTCCCTAGGCCCCCCAGACACCACGTGTGACATTTTCTCCAGAGCCAAGAGCAGCCTGTAGGTCAGAAGCCCTTCATTCCCTGCATCTTTGCAACCTGCCCTCTGCCTGTCCTGGTTAAGGGCTGAATCGTACCTGCTCCTGGGACCACTGGGGTTGAGCTAGGCTGAGCTATGGGAGACCAGAAGGGAGAGGCCCCCGATGCAAGCGCCCCTAAAGTAACCATGTCTACAGCCGGGGAGGGGGTGGGCTGAGTCACCGCAGGGTCACAGCGGGGACACACATTCCACTTGGGTCCCTGCTAACCCCCTCCCATACCCCTCGTTCTTCTGCCTCATCTCCCTGGCTTGGTGCACCCCCTGCTGGCTTCAGGGGGAACAGCCGGGTCTTTTCTCCCCAAGCCCAAGGCCTCCCAATGTACTTGTACTCGTCCTAGGTTTTTGCTTCCCAAAGTGTTTCTCCCTTATAAGCCTTAAAACTAGTCTGGGTTTTTTTTTGTCAGGAAAGCTAATATCACCATTTGTCGGAGAAAGTAACTGAAGCCAAGAGAAGGTAACGGAGCCAGGTTCTAACCACCCTCATTTCTCCTACTTGGAAAGCCCCTCCCTTCCTCCCGCTTCAGGGAGTCAAGGTGAACAGGGCTCTCTTCCGTTTGGTTCTGGTCTTTGACATCTGGCTGATGTCTGGACTCTTCTTCCCCCATTTCCCTTGTGGCTGTAGGGGAGAATCCTAAGGAGGGTAAATCCCAGGCAGGGACCACTCGTCCACAGGATGTGAACCGCAGAGACCAACAGAGGAATCCGGGCACCTCGACCACTCCCGCCCGGCCCAGTCCGGGGGGTGCCCAAGACACCGAGATGGTGCGTTTGTGAATGGCAGGGAGCAGGCAGGGTGGGGAGTCCTACACACTCCCGTCCGAGGCTATCCCCTTGGGCCTGGAGAAGTCTCCCGCATGCATCCTGGGAACCTGGCTGGCGGTGGGAGGGGGGTGGACAGTGGAGGCAGGCTGGACGGGTTCTGAGGTGCCTGCACTCTCTTCCCCCAGGGCCCGTGCCGCAGACATCTGGACTCGGTGCTGCAGCAACTCCAGACCGAGGTGTACCGAGGGGCTCAGACCCTCTACGTGCCTAACTGTGACCATCGGGGCTTCTACCGGAAGCGGCAGGTGAGGCCCCCACCTCTCCTCCCCTCGGTCCCGTGGCACAAGGCTCCTACCAGGGATGGGGTGGGGGGAGTTTACAAAGGGGCACAAAGAGGGGCGCCTGGGTGGCTCAGTCGGTTAAGCATCTGACTTCGGTTCAGGTTGTGATCTCACCGTTCGTGGGTGCAAGCCCCACCCTGTGCTCTCTGCTGTCAGCTCAGAGCCTGCTTCGGATCCTCTGTCCCCCTGTCTCTCTGCCCTGATCTCTCTCTGCCCCTCCCCAGCTCGTGCTCACTCTCTCTCTCAAAACAAAGAAACAAACAAACATTAAAAACAACAACAAAGGGGGCACAAAGAAGACACTGCCGCTGCCTTTAATGATCCCCCAACTTTTAGGGCCCACAGAAACCTAGAGAATAGCCCCACGCTGTGGCAGAGGAGCCAGACTGCCTGACTCAGAGGTTCACATCTGCGAGGTGGCTCAGAGTCACGGAGGGCTGGGAACGCCCAGGTGGCTGAGCCCCTCTCAGCCCAAGAATTCGCGTTTCTAACACAGTGCCCGCTGCTGCTGCAGCTGTTGGTTTGGGAACCATGCTTTGAGAACTACTGTTCTGCCTAGAAGAATGGGCACCGTTTGGTGGGTGGAGAAGAGGAGAGCAAGAGAAAGGGACCCAGGTTGTCTCCTTGTCCTGAGAGCTCTCAGAGGTCTCTGCACATTCGGACTTGGGGCCCACAGCCCATCCCCCACCCACAGGCCCTCCCATCCCTCCTGTGGGAGCCTCAGTGCCGCACCTCTGATCCGTGTGCCTCTCTCCCCAGTGCCGCTCCTCCCAGGGCCAGCGCAGAGGTCCTTGCTGGTGTGTGGATCGGATGGGCCAGCCCCTGCCAGGGTCCCCAGAAGGCGAAGGAGGCTCCTCCTGTCCCACCGGGAGCAGCAGCGGCTAAGGCTGGGCAGGGGGCGGGGAGGGGGAGGCTGCAGGCCCATTGGCAGGAGCACGGAGCTATCATCTTGGGTCATTTGTTGAGTGACGAGTAACTCGGGAGCCCTGAGCCCCACACTCCACCGTCAGGCCCTTTCCCAGTGTCCCCCTCACCCCTGGGACCCCACACATGGAAAGATGGTTGGTGTTGGCTTGGGATGTTAATAAAGCTGTGTTGGGGGTCTCTGGCCTACGTCTCTGGGTCCACCTTTCACATTTATGGAGCCCCTCCCCTTCTCTCTACCCGTCCCCCATAGCAGCTCTCCTTCCCCGTGGACTACCTTCTGTCTCTCCTGCTGCACTTGGGATGCAGGAGACAGCCATTGGCGGAGGTTTCCAGCCCTCAGCCCTCACCCCAGTACCCACCAGGGAGCGAGAGCAGGGGAGACATTGAGGCCATGACCTTGGTCTGAAGTTGTGACCTTGTTTCCAACACTCATCTTTGGACACAATGGGAGAAGGGAGAGAAAGGATTAATAGCTAATCCCCAGCAGAAGCCCAACAAAGAGGAAACTCTCGAAGCACTTATCCTTCTATTACATCCTACTAAAAAAGGGAAGGAAATTCTTATTTACTAAGCCCTTCCCATGGGCCAGACCCTGGACCCTGTGTTTTTACCTGCACTACCTCATTCTGAGCTTACAATAACCTTGTGAGGGAGGAACTTTGGCCCCTGTTTTTCAGAGGAGGAAACTGTGGCTTAAAATATCTGGGTCGTTCGCCTGAAGTCACACAGCTGGTAAATGACAGAGGGAGGATTCAAATCTCGCTCTTCCTTCAGAGTGGTTTGTGACGATACCTGGTGTTCCCTAGGTGCTGAATAAGTGTTTGTTTTGCCCCCTTTCTGCCCACATGCTAATCCAAGCAGGTGTAGGGAAGAGCTGATTTGGGGGGAGGGGGTCCTGGCACTTCCTGGAGGGGCCAGAACGCCACCTTGTCACAGAACATTAGTCACATCAGAACATTAATCACTTGCACACAGTGCTTTTGAGCTGACAAGGTTCTTTCCCACACCTTATCTCCCGGTCTAAGGGAGCCTAGTGCACTGATACCTAAAGATCCTTCAGGCTGCTGGGAAAGAGATCAGGCTGCTGGGAAAGAGATCGGCAGGCAAGTCATCCTATGTGATAAGCCTCAGAGAGGCAAAGTCCCCCTCCCCATGGACATACATAGGTACACAGTGCACGGCCACTGTTCTGGTGGGAGGGATAGCTCGCTCAGCTGGGCATCTGGGCGGCCGGTAGGGCTGTTGGAGTGTTGCAACCCTCCCTGGGACAGCCAGCTGAGAAGTGTTACCCTCTAGACCTGATAACCTATTGTGCTCCTGGAGGTCTCCTCCTCCTGAAAAGGACTTTAGTCTTTGGAGCTGTCAGATGAACCGAGTGAGATAAGAGCTTGGCAGGCTGTGAAGGAAGGGAGGGAACACTCCATAGCCGCCTACTGCCCGGTCGAGACTCACACCATGGAGCCAAGGGCGGCCCGATCGCGGAAGGGAGAAGGGCCGAGAGGAGAGCAAGAGCGCCGACGCTCCGGAGGTGGTGAGGCACCCTCTGGGGGTGCAGAAAGCTCAGGGGGCGTTGGAGGTGGAGACGCATTGCTGCGGGGGAGGCTCCTACTCTCTTGGGAGGCAGCCCCTGCCTCTGTCCCTCACTGCCCAGCCGGGAAAGGGAAGTGAAAGGGATATTCGGAGCGGGGGCCTTGCCTTATCTTGCAGACTCTTTCACCCCAGAGGGTGAATGGAGTAGCTTCCCAGTCCCGGGTATTGTCATCCGGCTCCCAGTGGCCTCACCCCCTGCAAAAATGACTTCCCCTTCTGATCGCCTCCCATAACTTCCCCTTCTGATCGCCTCACTGTGATACTACATATCGACTGGTTGGGGGCAGGGAGGCTGCTGAGCTTGCAGAAAGCATTTCCTGGAAAGAGGATGTTTCTGGGTCCGTACAAGGTCACAGAACCCTAACTCCCCCTCCCCCTTGGGTGTGCCCTTTGACCCTACCCCTAGGAAACATTGAGAAGGACAGAGGCCTGGACTTGGTGCAATGGACCCGACATATGGAGGTGAGGGAGGTCAGGGGTCAGACGTCAAGATGGACAGGTCTTGGGAGTGGAAGGAGGCAGGGACGAAGACCAGCCTGGTGATAAAGACAATTTGTTCTTGGGTTCAAAACCTTTCAGATCAGGTTGGAGCCAACAGCTAAGATGGAGGGGGTTGGAATACAGGTCAGCAGGGCAGGGGCCGAGAGTCAGCCAGTGAACAGTCTTCTGTTAGTCGGGCTAAAGGTCAGCAGAGGGAAGGCTGGGGACAGGGGGAAGGGAGTAGGGTCAGAGACGACAAGGTGGTTGGGATCCAGGCCCTGGCGCTGGAAATGTCTTTCCTTGGTCCTCACTGCTGGTCTGGGAAGCCAGAGAGAGAGAAATTTGGGGGGAGCCTCTCGGCAGGAACCGTGCCTGTTCATGTTTCTATCCCCAGCGCTTAGCAATGTGCCTGGCTCAGAGAGAAGAAGCTCAGTAGATATATGGGGAACCAGAGGATGGCTGCCCGGGTGGAGGGACAGTGGGTCTTGCCCTGCTTTGCCCTGCAGGCTGTGAAGACACAGTTGCTGGAGCAAGCACAGGGACAGCTGATAGAGCTGCTGGATCGGGCCGTGCAGGAAGCCATCCAATGCTACCCACAACAAGGCGGACCCCTGTCCTCCATTCCTCCAGATTCCTTGAGCAAGTAAGAGTCTGAGGACCTGGGGGCTGGGGAATGGCTAGAGCGGGCTCCTCTAGCATAAGGGTCATGAACCCTAAATATCATCTCATACTTCCTTTGCCAGCACTGGCATGACCCCGACTTCAACCTTCCCTCTTTTGCTCGTATTGCCTCTGCCTGCCCAACACTGACCTCCACCTTTGGGGTCTTTTTCTGCCCTGGCCCTGACCTTCCACCTGCTCCTGCCCTCTGGCCCTGGCCCTGACCTACCTCTACTATTGCCTTTGGCTCCCAAGTATTGACCTTCTGCAAGGCCCTGCTCTCTACCCAGGGCCTTCTTCCTCTGGGTCCTGATCCAGAACAACTGTCTTCATTTAGGGCCCGGGAGCCATCCCTGGGGAAGCGGAAAATTTTCATCATCCGAAAGTCCCTGCTTGAGTAAGTCCACGTAAAGGGCAGGGGATGGAGGAAAAGAAAGGGATTCAGCGAGGGTTCCAGGACACCTCATTTCTCATCCTCGGGTTCTAGGTGTTTGGAGGGAAAACTTGGAGAGGGTTTCTAAAGTTTAGTCTCCCCATTTGCCCTGGGTGTGATCGGCCCAGCCTTTAGCTGGAAGTTCCCAATCACCAGTCCCCACCCCACCCCCACCCGCGTACAGTGCCTGAGCGGGGTCCGCGGGACCTCCAGGACCCTCCCACACTGACATTCGGGCCCCTGTCCCCCCAGCGAGCTGATGGAAGTACAGCATTTCCGCACCATCTACCACATGTTCA